TGAGTTCATCCAATGCAAAAGTAGGAGATATTACGAAATCACAGTGAAATTAACATCTACCGACCATCGAAACTTTTTTTAATAAGAGTGGTACATTTACTTTAACAAAACTTTTGAATATGTAGGCAGGTAGAACAACAGGGATATCTACTCAAACATATATAGCCACTAAAATGATAAGAATAATATATTAATTAAACATTATTATTTTAGTGGATACTCATATTTGAAAAATATGCACTCTATTCAAGCTGGTAGATGAAAATAAATAAACAGAGCATCTACTCAAATATGGATAGCCACTAAAAGAATAATGTTTAAGTAATAAAGATATGTCAGATGATTAATAAATGAAAAAATCCAATCACACACACATATATATATATATATATATATATATATATATATATATATATATATATATATAAATTATATAATTTCTTCACTCTTCGGTTTTGATAAATCCTGCAAGTAAGTTCTTGTAGGGTGAAATAGCTATTCAAATGGGATTATTTTGAATTTCTATTCTATATAATTTATATATGCTCTGTTATAATAAATACATTAAGCTCTCTTAGTGGATCAGTTTAAATATTTTATATTATTAGGATCCATTTGGATTATATACCAACGGATTATTACACACACACACACACACACACACATATATATATGTATGTACACACACACAGAGGATGTGACATATTCATTTACCTGTTATTCATTTTATCATAAAATATAATATTGATAATATTTTCAATATATTTATAATTCAGAATGGCTACACTTTGCCTTCATCATAGCCTTTTCTCAACTAAAGTGTATGATTTCTTTGCCAACTTTTTGTTCTAATGTTCCAAGACGTCATAAGAGCTTCTTTCACATCTGATATACTTGAGGATGAGATATGTAAAACATTACTCTCCAACATAGAATTAGTGTCAGGGCTTGACAGTGGTCAAACTGACCTGTCAAAATCTATGAAAATGTCTCCTGCACAAGTTCAGCACCAAACTGGCCATGTGTGCAGGAGCTTCACCTTGACTAAAGATATAGTGACTTCCTCAAGTGACTGACAACCAGGGTAATGCATATCTATCTCTCTCTCACATTTGATGGTAAAGTCTACTATTCACTTTGACGACTCCTTCAATGAATGCCAAGGGTGATTTCAAACTATCAGAAGAAATAGCAGGTCAAACCATAACTGAAGTTGATTTCAATCACTTGAATTCTATTCTGACACCTTTGGGAATGTTTCTTGGTGAAGTGGTGTACACCTTATTGTTTTACTGTTTTAATAAACATTTACATTACTTTTTTAATTAATATTGCCCAGGTGTGAAGGTAGTTAAAATAATATCAGTATGAATAGAAAAACCATCCTTTTGACATTTCTTCTTTTTTGAGAGCACAAAAATCCAAGTTTGCAATAAAATCTTTGTTTATCAAGGGACCATTTCAGCTTTTCTCTTCTTTTTGTAAGTTCCTTTATTGATAAATTATACATTTCAACATCACACATGAAAGAAAATAATTTTACAAATTAATTGTAAGTGAAAAACACAGAGACATTGTTTTTTTAGTATCTGGTCTTATATTAATATACATTTCTAAATCTATATAAAATCCTATAAAAAAAATCAAATCCTATATAAATTTTTCTTCATTTGATGTTTGACAAGAGAAATGTTTCCTTTTGTCAATCTTAAAGGAATAATTTATCAGTAAATAGTATACTAATATGATATAATACAGTATATTTGTACATTAACATACAAAATCAAATAGTTGAATATCTATTATACTTATCTACAAGGTGGTATCAGAAAATTCCCAAACTTTATGGTGTGTTCATACCATTCAGTAGAAATGCACATGCAACTAGCATTCATTGACAACTTACCATAATAATGTTCAATTATTATGGAACAACTTTGTGATCTTTATGATGTCTGATGATTTTGAATAAAATAACTACAACAAACTTTGTGAAACTGAGCAAGACCCTTGAAATGCTTCAGACTTTTGGTAAACATTCAATCATTCTTTAAGCTGAACATAGCATTACATGTGCATTTTATGACAGTCAAGTTTCAGTTCAAGATCATAACCATTCAGGGTCACCTATTATCAGCAAAATGACACAAAATGTGGAAAGGACTAACACTAACAATTCATATCATTTGCAGTAACATAGGAGTTTTTTGAATGCTTAGTCCAGGAACTTTCTGATATCACCCATATAATAAATACTTAAAAATTTCTTTGTCACTTGACTAAAAATGATTAATATGAAATTATAAAAGAAATGCAATGAGTATTGTTTAATTTACAAAAGCAAAAAGCAGAATTAGAGTTAAAGAAAAAGGAGAAAATAAAGTTTTAAATAACAAATTTTTTAGAAAACCTGTCATCTCCCACCCACTACCAACTAAAACAAAAAAAATATATATATATATATATATATATATATATATCTCCAGGTAAAATGAGAACAAATGGAATATAATTCCACTGTACATAACATTTAATTTAAAAGAGGGCTCAATACAGTGTAGAGTGCTTTTGAAATTTATCTTTCACTTGCCAGTAGTTTAACATTGCTTGAGGAGACACATTTGTAGTGTTGAAACATAATTGCCATTATGTAGAGTTTTTATATCTTAAAATAAATAATATATATATATAAAATAAAAGGAATAACAAGAGGAAAACTTATTTTCCCAACATGTTTTATTCCTTGAAGAATTTTATCAAGGCAAATGTAGAAATTTATTGAGAAAAATCTGTATTCATATACATAGAAAAAGTTATCATTAAGAAAATATAACGTCATGCATTCTAATTTAAATTTGAGAATATTCTAAAATATTTTCTCAAATTTAAACTGGAACACATATCTTTTTCTTGATAACATTTTCTGTATATAAATACAGGTCTTTCTCAGTAAATTTCTACATTTGCCATGAAATTCTTCATAGAATGGTATGTGTTTTCTGTTATTTCTTTTATTGATATTGTGTTTTCACATATTCATTTATATTTATATATTTTGTGTATATGGGGTGTGCTGAAAAGTTCTCAGCCCAATCCTCTTGGACAAATGACAGCAATCAGAATTTTATTTTGGAAAAGCTTCTGGGTTGAGCTGAAAAGCTTTCTGCACTACCTTGTGTATAAATATATATATATATATATATATATATATATAAATATGAAATATCAAAGTTTTTAACAGATTAATTTATTCAACGAATGAAATTTATCCACTGACTAAATTTTAAAAGACTAAAGGGAAATCATTCATATTTTAGTATCTTGAATTTTTGTTAATAGAATAAGATGAAAAACCTTTTGGATGTCATGTGACTTTAGAGAGAGATGAAAACAGTTTCTTACCTCACTGAAGAGAGATTTCCAGGAAGGACAAAATTGCAACACTCGATTGTGCTGCAGTTTGAAACTACTGGAAAAAAATCCAGATAATGTCATTGCTTCAGTTTTTTATAATTCTTTTGTTAATTTTATACACTGAAATTGATGAATCTTAGAAATTTTTCCCCATTGCTGAGCATTCTCTGCAAATGATACAAAGACATGCAGAGACATAATTAGGTATATATAATAATGGCTCTTATACTTTCCCAGGCCTTTGGGCAAGAAAGCCAATGCACAAATAACTGAAGCTTGGGCAATTTTAGTAAGCATAGCTTACCTGTGGCACAAAGCCAAAATCATAGAGTATCCAGTGAGGGTTGAACTCACTACTCAGTCCTAATTGATCTAACAAGACAAGCTTACAAACCATTGCACTGCACTGAAATGAAGTTTGGAGACTGACTTTATCCTCAGACTGTATGTCACTAAGTAGGATCAGGAATATACTACCCTGATGTCTGAGGTAGTGGTGAAGAAAAACAGGAAGTTTCTGGATGAATTTACATAAAATGTAGCTTTGGGTTGCATCAGGTGGGGATATGGTTCTTTATTTCATAAAAAAACTGACCATCTATTGCAGACTGCAATCTTGTATATTCCTTTGTCATTAAAAAAATTTACTATTTAAATTATTGATTAATGACTGAATTATCACAGCCTGTAATCTGTTACAAATCTTGTAGATTAGCTCTAGTGTTATGGGGACACTTCTTATAAAATGGCTCTGGCAAACATGGACTTTTGTGCCTACAATAAGACAAAGTGTCAAATGGACGATTTTTTCCCATGACACTGTTTTTTTTTTTTTTTTTTTTTTTAACTACCTTCACTCTTCAGTAATGTTTATTGTTTTAAAAAGCAATGATTAGAATTGTAATAAAACCTAAACATATGAAAGTGTATTTATACATGTCCTTTGTTCTTGAGAAAATAGTAAACATTATTTATTAGATTGTTTACTTATACTATTATATTATTTATTGAAATGGTTGGCAAAACATCAGCTGATTGCCAATTAATTTGAACTTTATAAAATGGTAAGTAATAAAGATTTCCTTATAGTTCACAATTTTTCATAATTTAGTAAATGTTTACAAATTTATAAGTAAAAAATTGTTTTCGTATTTATTTCTTTATAAGTTAGTAAATAATAAACATTGCATTAGTTCTAATTGTATTAGTTTTAAATGTTGTAAATATAAAAGTACCCTTGTAAATAAACAATCTAATAAACAAAGTGTTTAATATTTTTCTTGTAAATTTTGAAGGAGAAAAATATATAAATTCATTTTCATCATATGTGTAGGTTTTATTACAATTCTAATCATCGCTTTGTAAAACAATAAATATTGCTGAAGAAGGAAGGTAGTTAAAAAAAAAAGCAGTGTCAATGGGAAAAAAAACATCTTTTAACACTATATCTTATTATGTACACAAAAACCCATGTTTGCCATGGCTCCTCTATACTAAAAATTAAAAAAAAGTAGGCAAAGCAGCTGAAAAAGAAATGAAGAAAAAGATGGAAGTTTCTACTCACCAAAAGTTGCTATGAAACCTACCTAATTTTCCATAATAAAGTGAAATTGGCAACATCTCTATTGAAAATGAAAAAAAGAAATTCACCATTATTATTATTGTTATTTTTACTGTCATTATTATTGTTTTATTATTTTTGTTTTTACCAATATTGAGTTTTGTTCTTAAATAGCCTTGTCAGATTGAGACTTTCATATGGATGTTGTGGATGGCACCAAACTTGTTCAGAAATATCTAAACTGCCAGCTGTATATGACTGCTTTCTCCAATAAAAGGTTAAAAGACAGTGTGAAGCAAATTAAGCCTGTATGTCTTAGCAAAGAACATCTTTCTTTGAAGTTCATGGATTGGTGCTACAGAATCATAAAGAACTGTACCAAATAACAACCCACATCACTTGAGGACTTTCAACAACAGCAACTACTAAAATGGATAGCATGTGCAATTCAAAAAGAAAATAATAGCATAACATGACGTTTCACCCTACTTCAAATAAAAGGTTAGGAAGGAAACCCCCATCAATACTGAACTTGAGAAACCTATTTTTCTGAAAAATTGTTTTAATAGAAAGATTTTATAAATTTCAACTGAAAGTTTCTGGCTTCTTCGTCAATGAAGACCAAATGTTTCCACATAAGGAAATAGTCAACATCATCAATACCATACTTGTACTTTTCACACAAATAACAGGAGCATTACATAGAGAACAAGTGACAGCAAGTCTCCTCATTGCTGCAGCACTTTCCTCAGTATTGTAGCTGTTTTCACTTATACTATTATCTCAACTAAGTTATTATTTACAGTATTTACATTGTTTGGACTATTGTCCTCATTTTTATTGTCATATTCACAACATTTCTACTGATGTACGCACTGGCCTTCTTCAGGTGATATATGTTACAATTTTGAACTGAACTCTTTATTTCATCCAAGGAACCATGGCCCAGCAGATAAAAGTGTTGGTTGAAGTAATCCAGTGACTTTACCCAAAGAGTTGGGAGTTCAATACCTGGCTACAGCAGAGGTGAACAAAAACTTGGAGAGTTGAGTTACTAAAGGGAAATAACTGAAATGGAGATACCTGAAAAGGCGTGGCATGTGGAACTAGAACAATCTACCCTGGTGGATGAAATAAAGGATCTGATTCGAAATTCCAATGTATCCCCTGAAGAAGGCCGGAGTGTACAATGGCTGAATGTTGTGAATATGACAAAGATGAGGACAACAGTCTGAACAATGAAAAAAAGTTACAATATTTCATCTCAGAAATATAGACAAATATCATCAGTTATTGTTTAACTTTTTCACTGTCTACACCAGTGGTAATCCCTCATGATAGAGAAGAGATGATGCTGCAAACCAGATCCACCTTTGGTTAACAGACTGCAGCCCTGGAAATACCTGCCTTTTTCTCTGTGGGTTTCAGTAGCCAGACACAAAAAGGATGTGAAATCATAACCTCACCCTGCAAATCTTGAGCTGTGAATAATAGTCTTGAATGAAGTTATAAAAGATGCCTAACAATAATTTTATATAATTTATTCCTAACCCGTTTCATCATGTTCTGGTTTTTTTAGGATCTTTTGGTTATCTTAGTTATGTTCAAAATTTCCCAGCACCATTGATTCCCAAGTAGGCATCTACGCGGACGACACTATGATTTACTCCTGCCTCAAAAACAAATCTAGTGTCGCTGACAAAACTAACCTGGCCGTCCGTCTCGAAAAGGACCTCCAATCGGTTGTGAACTGGGGCAGTAATTGGCTGGTTAACTTTAACGCCACCAAAACAAAACTGCTCTCTATTAATCACCACAGAGATCCTTCCCTGCCCTCCATTAGAATATTTGACGCTCAACTTCCTGAGAGCACCTCTCTGTGGCTGCTCGGTCTCACCATGTCTACTGACCTGAGATGGAACAAATACATTGTCAATTGCTTCGTCCACTGCAAGGAAAGTTGACTCCCTGTGCCATGCCAGGAAATTTTTCTCCCCAGAATCAATCCTTCAAATCTACAAATCAACCATTCACCCTTGCATGGAGTATTGCTGCTATATATGATCTGGAGCCCTTACTGGAGCCTCGGGGTTCTTGATAAGATCCAGAGACGGATATGCAATATAATTGGCCCTGATCTGGCATCTTGTCTGCAGTCGCTCTCTCACAGATGTGCTGTCACCTCTCTCTGCCTTTTTTACAAATACTTTCATGGTTATTGCTCTGATGAGCTGCATTCGCTGGTTCCCAGACTTCATGAATTCAGGCGTCCTACGAGGCTGGCATCCTGCTCTCACCCTTTCACTGTTGAAAATGTTAAATGTAGCCGCCTCTTCTACTCCAATAGCTTCATATCTCGCACCTCTTGCCTGTGGAACACCCTTCCCTATTCCTGTTTCCCTGATAGCTATAATCTCTAACTATTCAAATGTAATGTCAATCGACATCTCCAGTTGCCTTGATCTATCCACTATCTATCTCCTCATCCTTTCCTCTCATTTCAACCTGCTCTCGCTCCAAATCCTCTATAACCCCTTGTGTGCTAGTGGCTTCCCGCCTTGCTAGAGGTGAAGTGTTAAAAAAAACCCCCAAAAAACAAAAAACAATGTTTTTTGAAAACTAGACAGGGAATATACATTAGAAAACCTTTTGTTTTATTACTGTATATGCTGTTTTTTCTATTAATCTTGGCAATATCAATCTTCTACTGTATGTAGCAGGTGTCACACCTCTTTGCCAGGAAAGCATGTGTTGAAAACCCTATCAGCATCAGCAATCTTTTTTATGATTTTGGTCTGTGTAAAAACCTGGGAGCATGCATAGTGCAAATCCCAAAAGCCAGGCCCTCTTTCATACTGTGCCAGGGTCGAGATAGGACACTAAGCTTAGTGCTCTGGAACAGACACACATGGCTTAGACAAATCAAAACCTAACACAACATGGGCAATAATATTTGAATATTAAATAGGTCTTAATTAATAAGGGTTTGGATGGTATTATTTACAACTCTAAGGTTAAAGCTTCTCATTTTTCATAAGTGATGACTAATCTTATATGATTTGGTTTATTTTGTTTTACGGCATTTCAACCTCAATGCCAACAAGATTTTTAGGATAGGTTTGTATGAATAAAATATGTATTCTTTGTAAGAAATCAGTTTGTAGATCAAGTTTCATTGACATATTTTTGTAAAGAGGGTTTTTGTCGAGAGTCAAATATGTGGCCTAACCCTTCACAGTAGGAAAACTAAGATCAGTAAACCGAATACAAATTTCATTTCAAAGACCAGATTGTTAATATTCATTTTGAACTAGCAGCATGATCCGGTGTTGCCCGTGCTTGATTCAAAAATCATACAACTCATACAGCAATCGCTATCACTTGACTTAAAATATTTTTGCCCTTCCTTGCCTTTAAAGGAGTGCCCTTTGCTGTGCTGCTGTTGCTACATGCCTTACTTTTTGCCTATCTCATACTGCAAATTTTTTCTAAGCTCTATACTAAACATTAAATCTGTTACGAAAAAAGAACTAAACAAAATGAACACAAAACGATCAGCTTTAAAAAAGGACTTGCAAATGGAAAAACTGAATGAAAAAAGAATGTTAACAACAAATACCTTTTCACACCCAACCCAGTTCTGCGGAATCAGAATCAACGTTGAGTTTAAGCAAGCGAATAAGCCAATTGGAGTAAAGTGCCATGCAGATTTAAATTTTTCCCCACTTGTGACGAATGCAGCTATTGATTTTTTTTGCATGCTAGCATGCTTGTTAACATTTGTGTCAGTCAGCTGTTGGCTCTCACGCTGGCCAATAGAATCTTCCTGCCTATTCATGGCAGCCAGCTATAGGCTCTCACTCTGGCCAGTAGAAAATGGCCACAAACTACATGAAAACTGCCATGGAAGCATGAAAAAAATCGATTATTTCCGCTATCAATGGGAGTTGGGAAATGCAAGGTTGGTCGTGGCCTTCCCACTAACTTGGAGCATGTGCATGTAAATTTTGGTGCAAATCCGTTGAAAATTGCGGCTGTGCATTCGTTACACATGCACACACATCCTACCTTTTATAGATAGAGATAAATGTTCTTCAGAAAAGTATGAATCTATTTCTCTTTTCATTCTATTTTCAGATATTTTAACAAAAAAGGCCTACTTACTGGCATGCCACAATAGTAGATAAGTGAACATTTGAACAAAGCATTTTCTCATAACTAATCCATCTAACCAGACAAGAAGCAAAAAGCTGTTATTACAGAGAACAATAAGACCAAGGCAAAAGCCAATGTGTTGTTTCTATTAGATTTGTTGGAAGAAATCAGACAAACAAAAGAATAAACAAAATGAAGTAGAAATTTTGATTCTATCGGTGACTTTTAGTATTGGGAGTGTTCAGGATAATTCCTAAAGGAGGGAGTCACATTAAAAATGTTATTAAGACAGTCTCTGTAAAAAGACATGAGTGGCGAAACTTATTTTTTTTGTTAACTAAAAGGAGTGTAGTGTCTAGACTCTGCGTTGTGTTCTAAGAGTACAGAGTCTTGTGTCTTCTTGATTGCTATGCTGTCCAAAAATGACTCCTCTCTTGAAATTCATATGATGCAAGTTTCCATTTTTTTTTATACTTGCTCTTAATGGTGAAAAGGTTAGCTGCTGCTGATAGGGTTTTGAATGCCTACGTGTCTGGCCAAACAGAATATAAAAGCTCCTACATATATATATCTGTTGAATCTCTTCATAATTGTATTCTCCTGTCCAACATGCCAGCAGCAACTAAAAATATATATGTTATACTTTCTTTGGTTAATTTGTCTAACATTAACTCTCTGGCTTAATTAGTTGAAATATCCAGAGATAAGAGGAATTTAATTAACCCTTTCTAGAAAAATGAGATCTGATTGACCAAAAACTGATGATTGTTTATGACTGAATCTAATATTAATAATTGGTTGTAGATGAGTACACACTACTAAATCACCCCAAGTAACATAACTTTCACCTTGCCATGATATGTTTAAAATTTAACAATTTATTTTTCCTCAATAGATTATTGAATTTTATTGCATTCAGTTTCCATAGAAACAATCAAACCCAGATATTCATGAAAAAAAATGTCTTTGCTATTTAATCCCTTCATAATTGAGACAAGGGATGTTGAAAAGTTCTCAGCTAGGAGCAACTTCACAAAATTTGCCCAAATGACAAAATAGCACTTTTTTTTGTTTCTTGGTTGGACTGATGACTTTTCAACATCTTCTCAATGCTCTGTATATAGTTTTAATAATACATGTTTTAAAGCCCTTAATAGATTATCTGGTTATTTAACCCCTTAATAGATTATCCTGGGTATTTAAACTGTTTGAAATATTTCATATTTTAAATTATCCAGAATATTAACCCCCTTAACGAACTGTTCAGAGTCAGCTGTGTGCAAAATGGGGAGGGTGCATATTGAGAGGGTATACAATCAAAGATTGAAATAAAAATTTAGTTTATATTTAATTTGAATATGTTTCATCTATTTTTACATATTTAAAATGTCTTCCTTCCTAACATTTCTCAGTACTCAGCCCTATAGCCACCCCCGTTATTTGATTCTTAAAGGAGCCTAGTACTGAGAAATGTTAAAAAGGAGTTGGCCTCAAGCATCACCAAATATAACCAAGCTCCTGCATGTCATGGAACAGAATATTTAAACTCTTAATGAATTATGCAGATTATAGGCATTTTGTATATTTTATTCTTTTCAGAACTTTGTAAATAAACTAGCTTATAAAATAGCTTTTGATTTGGAATATCCTGTTACATTTTAGAACAAAAACATATCTAACCCAAACTTTTTATGTCCAGCAGTACCATTTTTGTAAAAATCTGTGGCAACAACAATTTCAGTTATTTTTAAGCTAAATACAGTTATTATAGCAAAAATGTTATTATATAAAAATATATTTCCCACTTGCAAGCAAGGATTTTAGCCATGTAAATTTTTGCTTTAGGGACAAAATATTTGTCAATCAATGGATGCCTGTCCATTTGCTGAATTACAGATTTTTTATAGGCGGTATGTGTTTATGTATTTATAAGTAAAAAAGAAATTGAAAAAAGAAGAAAAAAATACATTTTAATTATTCCTATATTTACAAATTCTTAATTTAAAAAACAAAAAGAATATGATGCAAAATGAAAATTTGAGGGGAGATAACTCAATTCTTCAAATTTATGTGCTAAAGTATTAAACTGATTACTAAAAAGACCAATTGATATTTTCAGCCACTAGCTGTAGCTATCTTTGATTTCATAGTAAGTACCAAATAGCAATTGCTTTTCTATTAGGTGTCTTATTGCAGAGTATTAAACAGGCTAGTTTTAGCAACTATTACCATTGAGTGAGTTTGATTCTCACTTATGCCCTTGTGTTGTTCTAATCTAAACTAAATAACTGCCTATACTCTTGAGTTGTTATTTTGAAACTATCTCTTCCAGCTTATTCAATGTTGTCTTGTTGACTACTAAGTTTAAGTAGTAGTAGTTATGGTGGGTATTGTCATAAGTAAAATAAGAGTTAACTCCCTTCGAACAGTTATTTTCGCCCATACAGTTTCACCTTTTTCTATGTGTGTCTCTTATGAACACTTATTAATCAAAATCAAAAAGCTACCATTTTTTTTGGCATTAAATTTTACAATAAAACACATGGTCTATCCAGAAAATAACCAGCTATTCAATATTACTGAAGAAAAAAAAGAAGCCTAACTTGGACAAAATATACCTTTCACTTCAAAACAATCAATAAAGTCAAACTTCTGGATTATCATCAGCTGCTTTTTTGCATTCCTTTTAATCTCATCCATGGTCTTTTAATGGTAATTTTAACTTTGGAAAAATCCTTAAGTCACAGGGAACCAAATCTGGACCCTAATGAGTCTTGGAGTTAATAATGTTTTGTTTTTTGTTTTTTTAATAAAAAAAGAAAACCTGTACAAGACCTAAAGAATTGTTCATTGTGACAATCTCATTCTGTAGCATCTCACTGCTGATTGCGTAACCCTAGGAGAGAGTGTCTGTTCACCCATGTTGAATAAGGTTTTCTCTGATTGGCTCTCATGTTGTATCCAAGCTGCACAACTGGTTATTCAAACTGGCTGGATATATTCCGAGCATATCTTATACTTACCTCTTGATCAGGATCATTGTCACACTCCAAATTTTACCACTGTTGAAATCCAGAATTTGTTTTTGAAAGTATTTTAAGAGAAATACAGCAATTTAAGGTTGGTTAAGGAAGGAATAAAACATCTCTAATATGTTTTGTACCTTATTACAGGTCTACATCTACTAAGAGGGTCTACGATGAGGTCATAAAAGTCTACAGGTATTTTCTAAGATATACTGTTGAGTACAAATCAGCAGTTTTGATACAAAGTCTTTTGCAAGCCAATAGTACTTTAGTATATTTCTAACAAGGATATTAGGATTGGATTCCATTTGGAGAAGGACGTGTGGGTGCTTTCAGAACTTACCACAACCCTGTTCATCACTAAAATCCTCACAATGGACAATTTCATCACATCTGTAATGACTGTCTATACACTCTCCATCACTAACACACTGGAATTGATTTTTCCAGACACATGATGAATCTTTGATAAGAAAAAAACAAATTTGAGAGTTGCATAAACAAACCCCCTCCAAAAAAAAGAAGAAAAAAAAGCAATGTTTTGTTAAGAAAACCAAATCAAATTAGTTCAAAATATTTAAAACTTTCCACATCAAACATCAATCAATAAACATTGTTTTATGCAATTATTTTTTTCTATCAATTTCAGTGATACCAGATGTATGCTTAAGAGTCAGAGACAAAAGTACAGTTACTTATTCTGAGCCCTGAAACAATAAAAGATATCATTACTCATTTCAGTTGATCATTTGGGAATTACAGATAGAATTACTAGAGTTAAAAAAAATTGCAAAGAAAATGAAACGAAAGCAATGTATTTCATATTACAAAACATGTTTAATCATAAAATAAATTATTTATTAATCATGAAAGATGTAATATTATTAAGTTGACTCAATTTCTTAAATATAGCAATACCATTAATTGACTAGTTTATTTTCCTACATTTAGAACTTTTGCTGTTATTAAACCTACTCTCAAGTCATTTTTACATTCTATGACTTAAGCGAGCAGACTGGATCAGAAAGAAAGAATTTATTTGATGAAACATTGTCATTATTATTAATTTTTGACTCGTTTCTCTTTCATCTTATAGTTGTTTTTTATCCCAAATCTCAGGTTATTTTTATATTCTATGGCTGTTAAGCAAGCAGACTGGATCAGAAAGAATACCTTTGATGAAGTATTGTCATTATTATTCATTTTAGACGAGATTGACAGGTTTTAGATAATCATACATCTGAGAGAGAAATTGAAATATAAAATCATGTCTGAAAAAGGCAGAAACAATATCACAAGTATGAATGCAGAATTTCATCTTCATATGGGAAAATCATATGAAAACAACCAAGCTCAATGAATTGAATAGAGGGTTTGGTTTGAAATTCTTACAATGTTGTCAAATATGACTGAGATATGAAGAAGCTGAAAGTAGTGATGGGATTCTAATTTTTTTTAAAGTTTTTTCTCTTTTTCCATCTTAAATCTTTTTATTTACATTTTTTTACATTCAGACTAATGTCCTCATCATTGTTACTATTATCCCATTCCAGCTGTTGTGTCTTGTAGTTTTTTTTCAGGTGTCTGTCAATCTGGGTAACCATCAGGAAACTTAACTAAACCCATTATTTAATCGATGTGGGTAGATTGTTCTCATTGTAGGAATATCTTATTTTGTTCTCTTTACTATTGCTCAGTTGTTGCTAGCTCTGTTTTGAATTGTTGACAGATCCCTGAAGAAGGCTGGAGAGCACAACAGCTGAAACATCATGATAACAACAACAAAGATGAGGATATTATTTTGAATATAATGCAAATAATGATAACTTCCTATCCCAGAAATTCAGACAGAAATTACCCAATTTTTTTGTCTATTAAATTATGAAGTATTACTTTACTATTCTTTTTAAGCCTCTATTTTTTTTCTGGTGGTTAAAAACCAAAAAGACAAATAAATAAAGAAGTTCTTCAAACTTGTGTAATTTTAGAAAATGGTTTATATGAACTCTTTGAATGCCATCACTGGCTGGAAGATATGGCAGCTAAAATCTAGTACTATTTCCATTGCAAATATTCTTATGAGATATATCCATTAGTAGCAACAGTTCTGACACTCATAGCTAAGACCTACAATGGTATATACAGTGAAACCAATTAACCCTATTCCCTTCATGTTCCATGACTGAAAAAGAAGTTCCATTCGGGCAGTTTTTCCCAAGAATCACTACTTCATGGAACAAATTCTGGCAAGGATGCTTCCTGAATCACTGCAATCTTAACCTCTTCAAGGTTAACGGTTATTGCACTTCTTACATCCTCCTCTTATTTGCATCAATCTAAATCAGTAACTTTCTACATTGAGTGGCTCTTGGGCCTTATATTGGTGATAAAAAAAAGCTACTCTGTGAACAAAATGTTGTATAGGTGCATACAAATAAACTAGCAACAGGTGTAGAGAAAAAAAATCACGTGACTTTAACAAATACTTACTTGAAATTGGTTTCTCAGAAGTAAATGGTTTCTTAATAGGTAACAAAGGACTATGAGGAGTTGGTCTAGAAGTCATAGTTGTCGAAGAAGCTGAAGAAGCCGTCATTGTTGAGCTGTGAGACCTGGTGGACTTGGTTGGTGTGAGATAATAAGATGGTGGTGTTGAAGTACTTGGTTTGTTGATGCCCCCAACAATCATTGTAGGGTTTACACTTGAAAAGGACACAGACACAGTGGGTGTTGCTAATACCTTCTGTGTATTTTTTAAAGGCTGTGTATTTATGTTGGTTCCTGTGTCAAACAGTGTCCGACTTGTTAGGGTGCTTGTTGATGTGGAAGTCTGGATATAAGATGTGGATTCTGATTGGGATGGTTTCAGAGTTCCGCTTGAATGTCCACTGATTGCTGAAGGTGCGTGGGTAAATATTGAATGAGGCGTGTTAATGGTTGATGATGGATGAAGGCTGGAACTGAGTATAATAGATGATGAAACTGAAAGAAAAAGAGTGAGAATAAAAAAACGAATTTAAGCTTGGAATTGTTATTAACAAAAACTAAAGAAAAAGTCAACAAAAGGCAATATATTATAAATGCTTAACATGATGGACATAAACATACAGTGAGACTCTCATTCAGCTTTCCACTGACTGGTCAATAACTACTTCAAATGGCATTTCCATTCATGTCATTGTGGACCAAAAACTGGGAAAGGCCCACTGCATGGTCACAAGGCAACAAAAGATAAAAATAAACACTGCATCAAGAAATGAGGAATCAAAATATATATATATATATATATATATATATATATATATATATATTCTGTGGATGACAAAATATATGTTCCTGGAAAAAAGTTATTTCGGTTGAGCTCTCAGGGAGAAAAGTGAATTTGTAAACAGTGACTATTACTGCTGCTGATGCAAGACTTTTCATTAAGACAAATCGAGTTCTCCAGTCACTGGTATGTTTATCTAAAAATAAATACATCTAAATTCACCTTCATTCCTGCCATGCACCAAATCAGCCGGATTTTAATCCCAGCTTGAGGCAATCAAATATCTAGCCACACTGATGAGCTGTGAAACAGCAAAACAGTCTGTCTGTGGATGAAAATACACACACACATGCACACACACACACACACACAGGGTGCGATTGGTAAATTGTCACCATTTTATATCTTTAATTTTGCACATGCATGTTTGTTTTTGTTTTTGTCAATTTCACAGTATAGTAGGGTCAGTTTTGCACTGTCTGTGATAAAAAGAGCAACATGACACAATTCACTGCCAAAAATCTGGAATCTTCACACTTTACTGCTTGGCATTCATGCTGGAAGATCCAATACAAACATTTCAGAGTGTTTGGGTGTAAATCTGAGGGCAGTGCAGAGGATTCAGAAGGAGCTGGATGAGTTTCATGGTGATTATGAAGGTACGGCAGATTGGAAATCTCACTCTGATAAGAAAAGAACTTCTGAATTTGTTGGTGAGGGCCTCAGGCTCAACACCAAGGCTGACATCAAGTGCCTTGAGAAGGTCATGCTACCCTGGGTCGAGAGGGTAACTGCTGGAAGGCCATATCTGGCAACAGGACTCTGCACCATGCCACACAAGTAGAAGAACCCAGTCATGACTGTCAAACAATTTCTGCAACCACATCACCCCTTAAATCTAGCCATCTAACTCACCAGACTGCAATCCCCTTGGTTATTATTGTGTGGGGTGCAGTTGAATGAGATACCAACAAAACTCATCACACCAAAGATGAACTGAAGGCAAGGATTATGGCAGCATTCACCAACTTTAACATGGAGACTGTCCAAAAGAGTCACAAGAGATTCTGAAGTCATCTGGAGGCTGTGGTTGAAGCCAATGGTGATTTTATTGAATAAATTTACTCTTTAGTATTTCAAGATATTTTTGTATAATCTTGGTAAATATATCTGTTAAAATGAAATGTCAGTATTATTTTCATTTTTGCGTAATTTATATCCATCGCATATTTTATCCATTTATATCCATTGCATATTTTTAGGTGCTTATTTGGGGCTCCATTCACTTAGTCTCTTTAAGTAGATAGGTTACACTAGGGGCAACTTCTGCCATGTTGAAATATCTTTTGTTCTTCGCCTCGACACTTACTCATTTCTGCCCATATCATCATCACAACACATGGCTGGCAACATTAATGGGCAGCATCATAACTACCCAAGGAAAAGTGTCCCTTGTCAAGAGCAGACCAGAACTAGCTTCAATCCCAACTTCGACTTAATATAAACAAGCAAGCAGAAATCCTCAACATCCAGTTTGTGTCGCTTGACCTCAAATTTTTAATTTATTCTTTTGCTCCTCTTCAATCAAGTGGGTACCACTTAGAAGACCCAACTTCAAAGACAGTCATAAGACACAAAACACTTGAGATCAAGATAAAAATCACACACCACCCTTCTCCATGAGGGGGTCTCAATCATAATGTCATATGGGTACAATACTGCAAATGTTTATATATTTGGTTTACAAACTTGAACATCAGTCAAAAATTTGAATGGGGATTTTATATTTATTATTATCTCTGGTCATCTACTCTTCTCAAATGTGACCAACTTTCTGAATATTTTTCTAAAAAATATTCCAGCATCATAAATTGATGAGCTTTTGCTTAAAAACAATGAAAATGGTTCCAATTTTGCTCAGCTTCAAAAAAATGTTATACCTCAATGAAAAAAAAAATGAATCTGGGTAAACATGGACCTTCATGCCTGCAAAAAAATGAAGTGTCAAAAGGATGTTTTTTTTTTCTCCATGACACTACTTTCATTTTAACTACCTTGACTCTTCAACAATACAAAATTTTAAAAGCGATGATTAGAATTGAAATAAAACCTGAACATATGATACAGCCAATTGTGATAAGCTATTTAATATAGACTATTCTATACATTCTTGTAATTTTTCTATCTAAACCAGTGGTTCTTAACCTTTTTATCCCAATACACTCTTTTCCCCATATGTTATCCCCAGCTTTCCAACATTGTCCTACACAAAAGATGCATTTCAAATAATATGCATATATTATTGAAAATCTTCATTCTTTTTCACATTAGTATATAGACATTTACATGGATTATTTTTACAGAGGATTTTTTTTCATGATGGGCTTCAAATAAAAAAAAAAAAAGAAAAAGTAAAAGATTTTTCCTCCCCCACAGAAACCCTGAAAATGCACATGTGCATAATGTGGGTTAAAAGCAACATCAAACCTAATCAGTATTTAGATGAGTGACAATTGAAGAACATCAGGTAGCGTAAGCAGCTTGTGATCTTGTGTTAGTCAAAGCAAAACTTAAATATCATTAACTTATGATTGGGTGATGTTGAAAGATCTGATAACTGAAGTTAAGCAATATAAAACCTGTTCAACATTTAGATGGATGACAAATGAGGAACATCAGGTAGTGTAAGCAGCTTGTACCTTGTGTCAAAGCAAAGTTGAATAATGGAATTATTTCTATTGGACAGTTTGATTTGGTATTGCAAGTTTTCTTTTGCAAAGTGTTTCATGGACTTGAAAAAACAACATGAGAGTGTTAAATAATCAATGGTTCCAATATAATCAAATTAAAACTTCTTAGAAAAATGATGGATAGATTCAAAGGTTACTAAATGCGATATACATTTGAGGAAAAATGAACAATGCATCACCTAGGTATATATGCAAAGGTAAAAATATCATACATATAGTGTTCAGTATTAGTCAGATACAGGTATCTTGGAACATTTCACCTGCAGATAAGTAGGTTTGGGTGGGTGATAACTGTGTGTGTATCTATATTTTATTTTATTTTTAGAATTCTTTTATTTCATCATGTTGCTTCAGGTGACATTGACTCTATAATTATGGTCAGGTCTCTACTTTTGTTCTTTTGTTATAAATAGTTGCAATCTAGATATAAATGGACTTGTCATTTACTAAGTGCATTTATGCGGTTTTAACCACCAGCCTACTATGGTTTTGTGCAAGGACCCTGGCTATTCAGGCATATGGTCACATCATTTTGAAATGCCTATTCCTGTACAATCAGTGAAGTTAAGCAATGTTGAAACTGGTCAGTAACTAGATGGGTGACCACTTGGGAATACCAGGTGCTATAAGCTCAGATGTGCAGGTGGCGTAATGGATAATGGTCCACAATTTTTAATTGGAGAGACAAGTTCCAATTACAGTTGGGTTAATTATATTCACCTATGCAAATACCCCTAGGGAAAGGTATAAATACACTTCTCCCAAGCTATAGGTTAAATAGCAAGATGTGTATCATTAAAATAAAAAAAGCAAAAAAATTCATACTAAATTTTTAAATTTCAGCATTAAATAACCCATATAGATATTTATATGCCACTAAACAAAAACAACCAAACCACTGAACCTTGACCATTCACAGATTTATTGTTTGTTTAGTTAATATTGAAAGTAACAATCTTAATATTTTTAAGATAGATAAAGCCACCACCACAAAAAAAATTATTAAAATGTTAAGCTTTTTTACTTGCACAACAGCCATTTGTTTTAAAATGAGCAAAGAAGTGAAACAGTCTCTCTTCATAACATAATTTTTTTATGGTATATAAGTGGACACTGAGGTCAACACCATGCAGCAACAGGCCTTCAGATTGCGTCAAGCATGGAGCAAACTGTTGCTATATGGCATTGACCTCAGTGTCCACTGTTATATTTATATAAACTCTACCCTTGATATCACATACATTTACCCATAAATATAGCATACCTTAAAATTATACGTTTAACATATATATATATATATATATAAATGTATATTTGGATAGCAACCTTTCTTTTAAACATGTTTCGTTGAATATGACAAAGAAAATTTAAGAAAATTTTTATTTAGTTTTCCAACATTCTTACATTTTCCATTTTTATACTCTCTTACTCTCACCAAATGGAAAAAATTTTCAACATTCTTACATTTTTCCATTTGGCAGGTGTAAATGAGTGCAAAAATTGAAATGTAAAATGTAAAAAGTAAATGAAAAAATTCCTCAAATTTTCCTTGTCTGTCATATTCAACAAAACACACTATGAAATGGACAAAGTCTGACAATTATTTTAAGACATTTTTACTTAAATATTTGTATCTATAAAGAATGTTAAACATAAAAACGTCTTAATATA